AGTCTCCAGAGCAGGAGACCCCATCCCGTCCCTGGGCAGCCTGGGCCAGGGCTCCGGCACCCTCACAGTAAAGAAGATTCTCCTCACGTTGAGGCAGAACTTCCTATGTTCTATCTTACATCCATCATTACTTGTCCTATTACTGGGCACGACTGTGAAAAGACTGGCGCCTTCCTCTTGACACCCACCCCTCAGATATTTCTATACATTAATAAGGTCCCTTCTCAGCTGTCTCCTTTCAAGGCTGAACAGCCCCAGTTCTCTCAGTCTCTCTTCACAGCAGAGATGTTCAAGTCCCTTCATCATCCTCGTAGCTCTCCCTTGGACTCTTTCCAGTAAGTCCCTGTCTCTCTTGAATTGGGGAGCCCAAAACTGGACACAGAATTCCAGGAGTGGTCTCACCAGGGCAGAGTAGAGGGGTAGGAGAACCTCCGTAGCCCTGCTGGACACACTTTTCTTAATGCACTCCAGGATTCCATTGGACCTCTTTGCCACTAGGGCACGTTGCTGTCCCATGGACAATTTACTGTCCACTAGGACATCAGCAGGATGTCTCCTAATCTGTCCTGGTACCTGGTGTTATTCCTTCCCAAATGCAAGACTCTACACTTGTTCTTCTTGACCTTCATGAGTTTCCCCTTTGCCCAGCTCTCCAGCCTGTCCAGATCTTGTTGGATGGCAGCGCAGCCTTCCTGTGTGTCAGCCACCCCTCGCAGTTTTACATCACCAGTGAACTTGCTGAGGGTGCACTCTATCCCCTCATCCAAGTCATTGATGAAGATATTGAACAAAACTGAACCCAGTACTGATCCCTGGGGAACACCACAGGCCACAGGCCTCCAACTTGACTCTCCCTTTCATAAAAGGATATCAGGTTAGTCAAGCAGGATTTCCCCTTAGTAAATCCATGTTGGCTACTCCTGATAACCTTCTTTACTTCCATTTGGTTAGAGATGGCCATCAGAATGAGCAGCTCCATTATCTTCCCAGGGATGGAAGTGAGGCCAACTGGTCTGTAGTTACCTTCTTGCCCTTTTTGAAGATTGGAGTGACATCATTGACTTTCTTCCAGTCCTCAGGCATCTCTCCTGTTCTAAAAGATTTTTCAAAAATGATGGAGAGGGGCTCAGCAACAACATCAGCCAGCTCTCTTAGTACACATGGATGCACCCCATCAGGGCCCACGGATCTGTGCATTTTCCATTGCTCCAAGAGGTCTCTAACAAAATCTTCACTGAGCAGTGGAGAGTCTTCCTCGCTCCAGTTTTGTTCCTGTTCTTCTAGTGACTGGGGTTCCTGAGAGCTAGTCTTGGGAGTAAAGACTGAGGCAAAGAAGGCATTCAGCAATTCTGCCATCTCTGCATTCTCTTTATCATATCTCACACCTCATTCAGTAGTAGACATGCTCTCTTCCTACTCTTCCTTTTCTCATTGAAGTATTTGAAAAATTTCTTCTTGTTATCTTTCACCTCCCTAGCCAGACTAAGTTCCAAGAGAGCCTTGGCCTTTCTTGTTGAGGCTCTGCACACTCTGGCACTTTTCCTTTACAATACTCACCCTGAAGGAGTAGGTTTGCCAGGTGGGGAGTCCAAACCTCAGAGGCCTGCAGAATTTAGAGATATCCAAAATGCTCTCCAGGGAGTCATTTCAAGTGTAGCATCAGGCCTGCTGGATCATAGAATCATACAATGTCTTAGGTTGTAAGAGACCTTAGAGATCATCCAATCCAATCTCCCTGCCATGGATGGGAATGCCCTTAACTAGACCAGGTTGTCAAGGCCTCATCAAACCTGACCTTCAGCATCTCCAGGGAGGGAATATCCACAACTTCTCTGGGCAATCTATTCCAGAGTCTTGCCACCCTCGTACTGAAGAATTACTTCCTAAGATCCAATCTAAATCTATTTTCCTTCAATTTAAACCCATTACCCCTTGTCCTGTTGGTGGACACTCTTGTAAAAAGTCCCTCTCCAACCTTCCTGTAGATTCCCTTCAGGTATTGGAAGGCAGCTATTAGGTCCCCCAGAGTCTTCTCTTTTCAAGACTGAATAATCCCAGCTTCCTCAGCCTGTCCTCATAGCAGAGGAACTCCAGCCTGGATCATCTCCTGGATCATCTTTGTGGCCTCCTCTGAACTTGTTCCAAAAGATCTATGTCCCTCTTATGGCGGGGACACCAGAATTGGACCAGTATTCTGCTCCTAAGAGCAGAGTAAAGGGGGAGAATCACCTCTCCTGACCTGCTGGCCACCATCCTCTTGAAGCCTCCCAGGCCAGGG